AGTCCAGGAAGAGTTGGTGAGAGATTCCCTTTTTATCTTCCCTTCAGCGGCCCCTCTGGGAGGCTCTTGGACCACGAAGAGCAGTAATAACACTGCTACAGCACCCAGTACTGGAGTAACCTACAGCACAAGATCAGACAGTGTCAATGACCATACTACATACCTCAAATATCTGGGCACAAAGTATAAGGCCAGAGAGACCCACACAGATGTGCATACAGGATGAATAAGTACGTAAGAGCATGGTGCTGTTGACACTGCACTTACAGCCTATCTCAGAAGTTCCCAAACCAGTCCTCATGTCCACTACCAGTCCAGGATTTAGGGATTACCCAGTTGTGTCTAAGGAGTTTAAAAAAAAAAAAAACACCTTAGACACGACTGTGTAATTCCTGGACCGGTGAGAGGGGTGGGGGCTATGAGGACTGGTTTGTGGACCAATGGCTGTCTGCTCTACAATGCCAGTAATAGTCTGAAAGATCTATATTCTACTGTTAAATACGTTAAACAATTTGACAAACAGAATGGCATAGTGTGTATTTTCTAGTTACAACTTTGCTTTCAGTTCATATGGGTTAACCCTGTAAGGGCTAACGGGAATGTGGAATCTCGTGTGTGAATCAAGCACTGCAAATGTCAGCCATATTTAAATGGTGTATGAAAATGCAAAGAAACCCCAAACAATATGCCATCCACCAAGAGACACAATATCTGGAGCTTTTTTTCTTTCACTTACTCTTAATGCCCAATGCCAGTCTCCACCTGCCACACTCGACACCTTTGACCCAGCAATGTAACCAAGTCCACTGTAAAAGAGAGAAAAGAATCGGCTTTCTAATGTCAAGCACTCACTACAATGATCAATGTTCATAGACAAAACCAGGATTAGGGATTGGCCTGTGTCTTTATGAAAGAACATTGCCAATAAACCAGAAATTCTAGAAGACTAAAATGGGAATTGCTAACTTCAGGCAAAAATAGAACAGACCTTAAAGAAAATCTTGAAACTCATTTTTTTCCAGTTTCACTATTTTGATCACACATTTAGAGTTCCCTGGTCAATAAAACCTATGTTTCTGGAATTATAAATTTTATGGCCACAAAACCAACATTTACAACCTCAATAGCTTTATAATCTATTACCCTACCCTAATCTATTCTTAATTGTTAAAAGCTATATGACATTAGAAATGAAGATGGTCCAGAATCGGAAACTCACCAGCCAACAGGTGTAGCCAAATAGAAAAAAGACAGCATTCTGCTGCGTTCATCATGAAGGAATAGGTCCGCAATCAGCGTTGGGGCGATGGTGGAGTAGCTTGCTTGGCCAACTCCCACAAGGCCCCGTGTGATCAGAAGGAGCCAGTAGTTCTGTAAAAAATTAAAATGGGGAGGGGGCAACAGTTATCTAGAAATATCCTGAAGAAACAATAGCAGCAATCCCACAGTAAATCTGATACTCTGAGAACTCGGCAAACTGCATGATGACTGCACCTCACGAGATTTGATGGATGACCATCAAAGCTCTACAAGCATTCTGCAAAATGGATAGGCCTGAGAGGAAATCAATCATTGGTTTTAATGGAATGCCTTGTGATGTTACCTCCTTCGTGATGAATGAACTGGACAGGGTGATGAGTGACCAGAAGGCGATGCCTCCACCAATTATGTACTTTCTGTTGTACCGATCCCCCAGGTACCCAAAGACGGGAGCAAACACCATGTGACTACAAATAAACACTAGGGAGAGAATGAGAAGAGCTGTGAGACCATGCAATCAGAAAGATGCATTTAATAAACAAACTATACAAAAATACAGTAAAATGTATTCTTCAGAGAAGGGCTACTAAACTGTTCATGGCTTGCAGGATAAAACTTACTAGGAAAGGTTAAAGGAACTTAACATGTATAGCTTGGAGGAAAGACGAGACAGGGGGATATGATAGAAACGTTTAAATACATAAAGGGAATCAACACAGTAAAGGAGGAGACTATATTTAAAAGAAGAAAAACTACCACAACAAGAGGACATAGACTTAAATTAGAGGGGCAAAGGTTTACACATAATATCAGGAAGTATTACTTTACAGAGAGGGTAGTGGAAGCATGGAATAACCTTCCAGCTGAAGTAGTAGAGGTTAACACAGTGAGAGAGTTTAAACATGCGTGTGATAGGCATAAGGCTATCCTAACTATAGGATAAGGCCAGGGACTAATGAAAGTATTTAGAAATTTGGCAGACTAGATAGGCCAAACGGTTCTTATCTGCCATCACATTCTATGTTTCTATGTAAAAGGAGGAAGAATGATGGAGAATAAAAAAGTTATCAATGTAATTTACATATGAACGCTATAGAAGAGTCTTATATTCTAAACAATGCTCCTAGTAACAGGTAGAGATAAGCATAGATATTGGAGGACTCAGGAGCAGTGGGGAGAGAGAGAGCAAAGGGGCACATGGAGGGGAGGAGCAAATGAGGGAGGAAAGGGACACATGGAGGGAAGGGGGAGAGATGGAGGATAGGGACACATTGAGAGGAGAGGGAAGAAAGGGACATATGGAGGGGAGAAGATATAGAGGGAGGAAAGGGACACATGGAGGGGAGGCGGCATAGAGGGAAGAAAGGGATACATGGAGGGAAGGAAGGGGGTAGAGGGAAGAAAGGGACACATGGAGGGAAGGAGGGAGAGATGGAGGAAAGGGACACATAGAGGGGAGGGGCGAATGAAGGAGAAAAGGGACACATGGAGGGAAGGGAGGGGAGATGGAGGAAAGGCATACATGGAGGGTAGGGGAGGGGGAGAGGGAGAGGGAAGAAAGGGACAAATGGAGGGGAGGGAGTATAGAGGGAAGAAAGGGACACATGGAGGGAAGGGCGGGAGAGATGGAGTAAAGGGACACATGGAGGGTTAGGGGGAGAGAGGGGGAAATGGGACACATGGAGGGACTGGTGGTAGGATATGAGACATACGGGGTGTTTGAGGGAAAATAAAACACAAGAGGGGCTGGGGGCGAGGGAATGAGACACATGGGGGGGGCAGGGCAATTTTCGCACCCGGCCCTGTGGTTTGGTTTGTAGTTACATCTCTACTCCGGAGATACAATATTTACTGACATAGAACTCACAGAAAAAGGCAGATGGATTTATTTAGGGGTGTACCTGTCTGAACCAGTCCGGAGTCACTGTCCTTGATCCCAAAATCATTGGCAATAACAGGGAGGACACCTATGTAAACAAGTACAAAAAAAATAAGCAACGTTATTATGGCTATAAAAATGTACAATGGCAAAGTTATATATCATTTTTTAATTAATCACGTTCATAACTATGTTTTTGGTACTTGTCTGTTAAACCTTAGCTATGGTGCTTTTATTGCGTTCATAGTGTGTGTGCTTGGGGGTCCTGTTCCTTAAAAAGGACAATTCTAGCCATTTAAAGGGGAATCCTAAGTGCCATAATCATTACAGGTTGATGTGGCGGTTTGGGTGAGAGGCTAACCAGCCCCTAGCACGATTGGCCTTGTGGGGATATTTATGGGATAATAATAGTAACAGTGAGAATTGCCCACTATTTCAATTCTCAGATCCCAAAGAACGTTTATCGTAAGTGAAATGTATTTCATATAATTAATATCACAATGTATAAAAATAGATTTTATTTATGATAATCAATAATTAACAAATAATATTATGTAACATGCATAACAATAATCAATGAATATCCAGTATAAAATGGTATGCAATACAAAGGAATGGGTATTACGTTTCAATGGCTAAAACAGCATTATCTGTCAAGACTTATTTATTACCATCTTTAACACAGACTGAAAGTAAAACTTTTCACACAGAGAACAGAATTCCTCAGAGTGCAGCGTAAGGTCGTAAAGTTTAGCAGACAGTTAGAATAACCCTTTCAATGCTGGCTAGATCTCCCAGGTAGTTAAGATCTACTCTTATGTATTTTTAAATAAAATAACATTTAAACCAGTTTAAATTCATTTTCTTAAACCATCCAATAAGAGAGTCTAATATGTTATATAAGCAGATTTTTAATTTGTCTAAAAGATATCTATCTTAATTTAGAGCAAATCAATACACCTGGATAAAAACAGCGGTATGCTAACATGTGATAATATCACATCAATATATAATTATTCTTAATTCCACCTGCAGAATGGAATGTTTATAACTATATATTCTTAGTTAACTAAGATTTCTTAATATGGAAATCTGACCGTGCTTTATCCAGTCATATATAATGCTATTAATACATTTTAATTAATTTAATTTAATTAAATGAAACCAGTATAATTACCAGTTGAGTAGATATTTCATCCGATTGGTAGTCTCTCTGCATGGAGGTGTTGGTTAGAAAGTCAGTAAATTCTAAGTGTTAGAGTTTTAGGAGTAGAGTGTTATTCTCAGATGTTGTCCGAGTTGGAATCCCCAAACTTCCAATTCCTCTCTCCTCTCCGTTGCATATCTTGCATCTGCCTCCTCTCGTGTATTTTGTATCCCTATCTTCCCTTTGTCTTAACTTTTAAAGGGCCAGACTCTCTGTACGTCATCAGTTGATAACCCAATAGAAGCACTAGAGGTGTGGTTATCTTCCAGATCGCAAATTAGTTATTTGGTCTGTAGAGGGCAGTCTTGTCCCACTAAACATACCTATCCAGGAAAGAGTTAACTTTTCCTGGTGGCTATTTTGACGTCATTTTGCGTTATCTTTATAGCGCCATAATTTAAAATTTCAAAGGGTTTCTTAAATTTTGTCCAGACTTAGCGTCTGCAATTCCTGCCATAATTTCTGATATGACAGATCATGAACTAAGTTTACCCTTTTCCATACAATGGTACCTTATATATATAGACAGTTAAATATTAAATTATTTACTCTTCTCTGTCACAATTGTCTGGGTTTAGATTTGATTATATTCCATTAGCATTTTAGACAGTCTATCCAACCCCCTTCCTTATCACTTGTTTGTATATACTATGCATTCCTCAGATCTGGGAAATTGGTTAGCTTACAGATAGAAATATAGTGTCTTTTTGTTAACTTGAAATAACAAAATGGAGTCTGGTCTGTTCAGAGTGACTCAGAATATACACTTTTAGTTTCTATCATAGCACAAAATGTCTGCCGATATAAATACTCTGACATAACCCCCCTTTAGTGCATTTCATAGCCAAAATTAATTTAGCTTATGAATAAGCACTATAGAAGTTATCAGACATATTGTGCAATCACATCATTTCTAACATAGGCCCGTGCGTGGAATGAACATTTTTGTATATATTTGTACCTGTAAAAGTTTTGAACTTTACACTTAGTACAATCAACCATAATATCATTATTATCATAGCACACCCAATAACAATCTTAACATGGATGAACCAGTCAACACGAGCAATAAGGTCAGTATCTAGCTCAGAGTATTTAAATGTATCCACAGAAATGTTATCTTTTCTGATTGACATTTGGATAGTGTGGTTGGGCTTGTGGTCCAGCAAGAATTTTAGATTAGGATCTAGAGGGATATCTAGATTCTGGAAGGGATCCACCATCTCAATAGCACTTTCGATGACGTCAGTGTACACTGGGTATAGCGTAACGTCACCGATGGTGATACGAGAGTCGTGGGGTACCTTGATCAGTGAGACAGGTGCTGGTAAGGCAATTACTTTATTAGTCACCTGGTCCCTGCGAAAAACACTTATGTTTTTAAGACACGTGCTTACCAACCATTTATCTTTTACTAAGATAGCATGTACTAACGCATTACTGTCGGTTTTTGACATAGTTACTTGACATGTTTCAGAGCCATGTTTAAGGTACTCGATCCCACACAAAGCATTGGTAGAATCGTACACAAAAGGTTTTCCATCACATTGGAAATTATTGTCTTTGAATTTCTCACAGTCATTCAAAATGGGTATAGAATACCAATCTGGTACCCATGGTTGAAAAGCCAAAACATCTGGGGTTTGGACTTTTACGTGGATATTTTCCTTCCATGTACCGACATTGTAGATTGTTTTCATTTGAAAAATGTTTTTGGGAGTTACATATGGTATGGCCAATAAAAAGCAAATCTCCATACGTTCCGGATCAATTAAGAGAGGTATAGCGCTCCCCATCTCAAAGGCCAGATTTAATTGCATAGGCTCAATTGTCTCTCCATCCACATTGGCAAGCATCGCATGAACAATATCCTTGGATACAAAATACAGAGGTATGCGTCCCCCTGCCAATTCGATCATTCCAGTTTGCACTTCGTCAAGAAAAGCAAGTGTGTGGAACAATATTGGGTCATGCAGAAATAGAAGTTCACGCTTAAATAAGTCATGACTTTGGTGCAACTCAGTGGATTTGGCAATTAACTCCGAATGCAAATTTGTTGTAACAACTGTGTCTTCCACAATAGTTAACACGTCTTGGAGAAGTGTTCTTTGCTGGTTTATCACCTGATGAATATCGTTAATGTGTTGCTTTAGCGCATAGATTTCCATATCCAGCTTTTGGACAGTAATAGAGTTGGCTGCAGACATTCCAGTTGCGACAACTGCACCGACAGTGGCACAAACTAATGCAACAATTATAGCGGTGAGGAACCTTTTGGGTCGGTTGCTCATCGGAATAGAACTGGATACAAATGGTTTCCGGGCTTGCTCCAAGATGTTTCGCACACGGTCCTGTGCTCTTTGGAGGTGCATCTGGTACCAAGTCTGTAACTCAGGAAGCTGCATCGATGAAATGTTGTATGCCTTCTCGATGGAAATCTTGGGGTCCAAGCTGACGAACACACGTCGGGTCAGGATCCTCTTCTCCGTTAAGATGAACCCTGGTGTCTCTTGAATCAGGATGCCGGAGGATGGTCCCATCTCTGCGATCGGGTCGGTCCGTAGCTCTTGGCACAGGAGCAGTACGATCCAGAAACACGTCACATCCTTCTTGGACATCTTTCGACAGTCACGGATCAGGAACTCGTTTCAGACTTATCTACTAATGATTCAAGGTTTGTTAAGCATACAAACTTATAACAGTGTGACATCACTTGGCCTAGGACAACACATTTTTACGATTCATCAACATATGTATTCTGTCTAATTCTATTTTTATAACTTCATCCCTCACTACATTTATTACTGACTCTTCAGCAATTTGCCTATAGCAGTTAAACAAGCTAGTAACCTGCTTATAAAATGTAGTTATTGGATGGCAAGGAAATGGTTAATGACATGAACGTACATGAGATCATGGCACATCACAACATTTCACATCATACTATACCACGTGAATCAAGCATTCATCCAGGTTAGTCGTTCACCCTTCTGCATCCGAATCCACACCTATAATCCTTAATTGAGATTTAGGATGACAAGCACGCAACTGGTTAATGTGAACCCACTTTTCAATAAAATCACCATCCTTAGGAATTTTTATCTTGTACGCTACTGGGGAAATTTTGTCAATAATGACATATGGCCCTTTCCAAGAAGGTAAAAATTTCTTTTCCTTACTTGATTTCGCGCAAAGTTATACAGATAGACTTGATCTGTTATCTCATATTCCTTTTTCGTGGTTTTTAGATCGTAATAGGTCTTAACCCCTGTCGCTGCTTTTTCTAGATTCTTTTGGGCAAAAGCAAACGCATGCTGTAAATGCTTGCGCAAATCTTCGATATACTGATGCGTAGTGGCAGCATTGATCAAGTTATGATCCGAAGTACGATATAGTAAATGCTGTGGTAAAACCATCTTTCTTCCTGTCATCAATTCAAAAGGTGACAATTTGGTAGCAGTGCTAGGTGTAGCTCTAATCGCCATTAAAACTAGGGGCAATTTAATGTCCCAGTCTTTACCAGACTCCTTAACATATTTCTTCAGAATATTAACGATAGACTGGTTATATCGCTCTACCCCCCCGCTAGACGCAGCGCGGTATGCAATATGTAGCTTTCGTTTAACACCTAGAATGTTCCACATCTTAGCCATTACTTCGCTGGTAAAATGACTACCTCTGTCTGACTCAATTCTTTGAGGCAGACCGAACCTGGAAAAGACATGGTTAATCAACAAAGTGGCGCACACGGTACTCGTGTTCTCTTTACAAGGCAAACATTCTATCCACTTTGTGTACATACATGTAACGGTTAACATGTATTTGTTACCTCTTGAAGATCTTGTTACAGGACCTATAAAGTCAATTTGAATATCAGACCAGGGTAATGACACCCCCCTCTTCTGAAGTGGTGCACGATGGGTTGGACCATGGGGTTGATATTGCGGACAAATCAAGCATCCCTGACAGTATGTCTTAACATCCCTTAACATGTGTGGCCAATATGCATAATCACGCAATATCTCATATGTGATCTTATCACCACGATGCCCAGATGTAGGTGCATCATGTGCGTGTTGGAGCATTAACCCTCTGTATACAGTTGGGACTACCCATTGTTGTATACCATGTTTAGAAGTTCTGACCAGTAACCCATCCATGATACTAAATTGGACTTTATATCTCATCAAGATTCGTAAATCTTCATTATCTTTGCAATCCTCATCTGTGATGGGATTGGCAGTAGGGTCTTCTATATGTTTATAGAATATACCTATGACGGGATCATTCTTTTGACTAGTAATCAGGTCCTCACTAGGAGCTTCTTGACTCCATTGCACGACGTTTAAGTCGGCATTATCTCTAGCCTGTCGTCTGGTTATGGCTTCAACATGAATTGAACCCATAAGATCACCAATGTGTAGGGTTTCACCATCGATGGCAGCTTGTTTTGCCAGTGAATCGGCTAAGTCATTACCATCCTTGTCAATACCTTCTATTTTAGAATGGCCTTTGGTTTTCTTCCAATATATGGATAAACCATTTTCCTTAACCAGTTCATCGATTTTACAAAACAATTTCCCATGTTTAACAGGTTTGTTATTGCTCTTCAGCATTTGGTTACGTTTCCAGCTAGGCAGATATTCGACGAAACTGTTGCGAACATAGTTAGAATCGGTTATAATAACAAATTCTTTGATACCATATTCTATTGCCATTTGAATGGTCTTATATACTGCACAGAGTTCGGCTATCTGACTGCTTTTGGGACCAATATTGTATCCTATAGATACATTAGGATAATCACCTGTCCAGGCGATTCCGATACCTGCAACTAACTTCCGTTCAGCACCAACGACGTGGTGATATGAACAACCATCAATGTATACCCACGGTAGTGGTCGACAGTATTCCTCGTCATAAACTTTATAAGGAGATAGCAATTGCTCTTCTAGGAAGTCATCTCCGGTGTCATTATCATCCAGAGATGGAGCAGTACAGTCATGTAATTCTGCTAAACCTTGGGCAACTGGGCTTCTCTTATTATGTTTATAACGGACTTCTAACGGCCATCCCTGTAAGGATAGAGTCCATGCAGTAATCCGACTGTTAGAGAGATTACCGTCTCTAATTCTTTCACTCTGCAGATACTGTAGAGGTTGGTGAGCTGTTTCTACAATTATTTTCTCACCTTGGATATAGCTACGAAAATTTTGTAGTGCCCAGACAGTCGACAATAACGCCTTCTCACACGTGTTGAATTTAACTTCAACAGGTGACAAAGTCTTGCTAGCATATGCAATAACTTTGTTTAAACTGTCCTGCTTCTGATACAGAACAGCACTGATGCTTAAATTGGTATAACCTGTCTCCAGATAGAAGGGTTTACCCCCCTCTGGGTATGCTAAACAGGGTGCCTGAGTGAGCTTCCTCCTCAGTTCACTTACCGCTTGGTCCTGAGGCTCCCCCCAGTTCCAGGTAGTTTCCTTTTTAAGCAGGTGTAAGAGTGGTTTAGTTATTTCTGCATAGTTATCTATAAACTTACGGGAGTAGTTAGTCATACCAAGGAACGATCTTAATTCCCTGATGTTTGAAGGTGTTTTAGCCTTTAGTACGGCTTCAACCTTCTTCCTCTGGGGATTTAATCCTTCAGAAGTTACCTTATGTCCGAGGAAATTGACATGGGTGCGACACCATTGTGCCTTTTGTAAAGACAGTTTAATCCCTGCTTCTCTTAACTGAGTGAGAACATGTCTAATCTCCAAGATATGCTTATCAAAGGAAGTGCTTTTCAGCAAGACATCGTCGACATATGATAACGTTCCTCTCTCGAGTGCGTCAGGCATAGCTTTATGCATGAACACAGCGAATTCATGACCAGAGTTTATATAACCGAAAGGCATACGGGTCCAGGTATACTGCTGCTTTCCAAATGTGAAGGCCAATTTGTATTGGTCTTCATTATGGACTGGTACAGTCCAATATCCCTGCGCACAGTCAATGGCAGTGAATATTTTGGATCCCTGCATTTGTACCAAACATTGGTCTATGTATGGCGTTGGCCAACCAGACATATAGACGCGTTTATTTAGCTGTCGTAAGTCAGCGCATAAACGCCATTGTCCATTAGGTTTCAGAATCCCCAAGATCGGATTATTATACGAACTGTGCACTGGACGTATAATGCCCCTTTCCTTTAAATTCTGAATGATGTCTTGTAGACCATCATATGACGCTAATGGGAGTCTATATTGTTTGATAAATACAGGTGGTAAATTTGGATCAGTTTGTATTCTGGCTACGTGGAGGTTAGTTAACCCACAGTCGTAGGAATCTTTGGCAAAAATATCTTGGAATTCCAAAAGGATTTCCTTTAGCTGTTGCCGCTCAGCATCGTTGGAGCAACCGTCAGCTAAAGATATTTGCTCTTCTAGCCTTTCCTGAAATCCTGGAAAGATTTCAGGCTGGCCTATCTCATAAGCTTCTTCAAGCCTAGAAGTTAGGTCAGTTCGGTGTTGACTTACCTTTTCTCTTTGGTCGTGATACTCTTGTGATTCCTGCTCATTGAGCGGATGATCGAAGGTAATTGATGCTTCTTCGATTTTACACGAGCCTTCTTCAACGTTGAAGGGATACACAGATAGGATAGTGAATAATCCTTCTGGGGAGGAATGGAATATTTGATCGACAATTTCGTCCTCAGTTAAGTATTCTTCAGGGATGAGGCCTATAATTTGGTTTTGGAAACCAAATGTATAGTACTCAGCATCCAATGCTAGACCTAATAATGTTCCTTTTGGTAAAGTAACACTATTGGGTGTAACATTGTTGACCATGATATAGGTGGGATTCTTACCAATACTTACCATTGGTGTATGTGTTACCACCATCCCTAATTGTTGTATCCTGTTGGATAAACAGATTAGGGCATCAGAGTTTTCCAATCTCTGACCCTCCTTGACCTGTAGGGGTAAAAGAAAATTACTTGTCCCCTGTGGAATGGTTATGTCATCAGGAACTTGGATACTTACCGCATATGGGAGTATTTGTCCTGATTTCAGGGCGTTTTCCTCGTGTAGGTATCCACAAGGATTACCTTTTAACCTTGTCCACAAGTTGGAATTAATCAGGTCAAGGTGTATGGCAAAGCGATGTATGACATCATTGCCAACGTAAACCTGATAGCGAGGTTCGTTTATCACTAGGAATAAATGTTTAACGGTCTTATTTCCGATGGAAATAGATAGTAAACATTTTGCTATCACATTGTGACTCTCTGATTCGCCATCCAGGTTCTGGATCCACCTGTCATGTGGGGAAGCGTACCTGATCATTTTAGGATTAGCGATCTGCTTTAACAGACTTCTGCTAATATAGCTGTTCTCACTCTGTAAGTCCAGCTTTGCATTCCTACTTCTTCCTAAGTCATTTATTTGCATAGGAAAGAATAAGTTGTTATTAACCCTTTCAATTCTGGCAAGGAATTGAGCATGACCTGCCAGATCTACAGATTCAACATAGTCCCTGTGGAGAGAAATGGTTAAAACATCACCTTCCAGAGAGACATTCTGGATCCTCTCTGGAGCAATTCTTATGGAATGCTCATCTACAGGTGCGA